ACGGGGTGTTCCATTTGAAAAATCAAAGAAGCCGCTACTTTATAGTAGAAGCGACAACGCCGTTTCGCCTAAAATATTTTAGGCGTGTAGGCCATATTGACTCATGCATACTGTGGAATTTTCAGGTTGATCCGTTGAATAGTTTGCCAGAAACGGCTAATTAACGCTCATCATGAAAAGCCCTGTATAGGTATAACATTCAAACATCACATAAGGACATATTGTAAAATAATGTATTAGGCAAATTGTAAAATTAATTTAGGTGTGGTATACCTGTATGGTAAAACTGTAAAGCATAAATAGGGTTAGCTTCGCAAAGATTACGTTTCGAGGTGTTGAAATAACGGATTGGTGTTGGGAAAAAACTCCAGTATTATTCATTACCACACCAAATATTCCAAACAGTGCATCACATGTATATATATTCTTGAATTGCTGTAGACAACGGATCTGAAGCTGAATTAATAGACAAAATTCTTTCCAAAAAAGTCTATGCAAAAGCAATTCAGGAGGTTTTTTCTATTGATAAGTCAGATGATCAAAATTATGAAGCTTTAGCATATTTCGGACAAACAACAAAAAAAGTGGCTTCACTTTCGAAAAAACAACATATAAAAATTGCATTTAGAGAAAATAGTACGTTCGGAAAGAGGAAGACTAAACAGCCAGTTCAATCTTCCTCTCGAAGATGATCACTTGGTGATCGAAACAAGTTTCGAGGTGTTAAAGATAACGGTTTTATGTTGGAATAAATCTACAGTAATATTCATTACTACACCAAAGGTTCCAAGCAGTGCCTCACAAGATTATCACAATTATTATTGAATAATTTTTCAGTTTCTAATTTGTTTTCTTAAGAATGTTCGTCTTTTTGAAGTTGCTGACAAGTTACACAGATTTATAGGATAGTCAGGGGTTGAAAACGTTCTATATAGTTGAAGGGTTGAAGTGATTTCAAAAAGAGCGTGAGATATTTTGTAATAATTTAATTCAAATACATTTCATTCGCTCGTTTCAAAAAAAAGCCAGAACCTCATAATTGGAGGCGAAGTACTCTGTTTGTGAGTGAATGTAATACAATCGGCCTTGAATATGGTTTCCAACGTTCACATTCCTGATTTTTCCAACCACACGATGAATCCCCTTCTGTGAACGCCCAATATACAAGGGGTAACCAGTAGAGCTCTGATCAAATTCAAATCCACTTACTACCAATGACGTTCTGTTGGCAATTGTTGAGAAATCAGCGTCATTTGCAGGATACCACTGAATCCTACTTGGGAACTGGCTGCATAAAATCTGAAAAAAAGGAAATAAAATCAAACATTTGTGCGGACAATGAAACATATGCAATAATTTACGCGACCCCTGACTGAGTATTCATTACTTGAGAAAATTTACATCTGCTTCATTTCAATAATAATAAGGTTTATTTGGATAAAATTCAACATTATATCTCATGAAGTATGTAAAACAATAAACAAGGAGAGAAACCACAAAGCCATTGGGTGTCCGCGGTGAGGGTGGTTCATCAATAGTTATTTCTTCCTCAAGTATTTTAAATTAAAATTATGTAATACAATGTAGGTTGCAAATTTTTAACATAGATAAAATTGATGCAGTAAAATTGTGAAACAAGATAAAAATATAACAATAGAAAATATAAATCATTACAATTCTAAAAGAATATTATAGATCATTAAAAAGAAAGAGTACAATAGAATTAGTAATAATGATGTTCAGTTACCAAGAGCATGGTTATGGTGACGTTTACAGAATAAACCTACAGTAAACAAATATGAATCCCACAGAAACTCCAGGTTGTACATGGGAATCCGGTAAGTATACATGTAATCATGGCCATAAAATGCAATTTCCATTTCAGTTGGCAATTAGAATAGAATAGAATAGAATAGAAGTTTATTTAACCACATTACACTTTACATGTTTGTAGCAAGTCATGACAAATTTGTTACATATGTTTACGCACAGCAAAAGTAATTTCAGATCGGATGAGTATAAAATATAATTTAAGATAAAAAGTAGAGCAAGATAAAGATTAACATTAAAAACATGAAAGAACAACATGATATAGCATATTTACGGTAGTCAGATGAGTATCTTGCTTGTATGTTGAGACTTAGGAGCGATTTTTAAAATACCCCAGGTAATCAGACACACAGTAAAAGCAGCCCTCCAATAGTAGTTGTTTAATGGATTGTTTGAATTTATTCATACTAAAATCTTTCAGCTTGACTGGTAAACAGTTATATAAGTTGTAATCCAAAGAATTTTTTGTGATTTAGCTAGGCGATATCGATTTATACAGATCTTTTCAGCGTTTCTCGTACGGTACTGATGAATATTAGAACGTTTAGGTAAGGTACTCGCAAATCTGTGGATTTCTAGCAAAACATGAAAAATGAATAACGTTGGTACAGGCATGATACTTGGTTTTTTGAAAATTGGCTGACACGGTTCCCGAAAACCTACATCTGCCAATATTCGAATGGCTCGCTTTTGTAACCTAAAGATATTGAGAGAACCAGGTGAGTTTCCCCAAAGAACAATCCCATAACCAATGTGAGAATGANAAATTACAACGCAATTAAACTAAGGGTACTGTGGAAACAATTGAACTGAACTGAATAACATAAGTAATAGTGATTTCTCTGGCCAAGATTCCTTTTAGTTGCAGTTGTGTTCGTATACAAATTTGCTTTTTGTCTAGTTTGGTAAATGTGGTCTGATTTTTGTAGTATGTTATTTTTGTTTTTGTAGGTATGTATCATAATGTTGAAAAAGTGGAGTTGCCTCAAGTAAAAAATCTTTGTTTCAGTGAATAGTCTTTCAGATGGGTAATTCCTCACTTTCTTATGAATAATTTTCAGGAAGTATTTTCGCAATATTATTAACTGTTTCAGGTGTACTTTTAAGTACCCAGGTATTTAATGTCATAATTTGCATGTATATTCATTGACTCGTTTTTATGTTTGATGGAGAAGCAGTTAAATTCTGGGTGTCGATTTTTATAGCAGGTGTAAGACATGTATTTCGTTTTTTCGTAGTTGACAGTTAATTTTCGTGAACTGAACCAGTTCAGGATTTTTTCCATATTACCTTGACATTTGGATTTGAGGTTCATCCAACTCGTGTCTGTGTAAAATATCACGGTATCATCAGCGAAACGGATTACTTCACCAGTTGTATCCAGCGCCATTAACTCGTTGAGGTATATTATGAATGGAACTGGTCCAAGTACTGTGCCTTGGAGTACTCCACACAGAATCTCTTTCTCATTGTTATAGGTTTCATTTATTCTTACCATTTGATTTCTCCCTGACAGATAGCTTGAGAAGAGCCTGTCGGGGGTTCCCCGTATACCAATTCTCTCCAACGTTTCTAGTAGGCCTTAGAGAGATCTGGGAAGATACACAGGGCTGGGTACCCATCATCAACAGCTTCATATACTTTCTTTAGAAGATTACTGATGGCGTCATTTGTTGATTTTCCTTCCCTGAACCCAAATTGCTCTTTAGATAATAGTTTAAATTTATTTAAATATATTTCTGGTCTCAGTTTTATAAGGGTAGTAATCAGCGAGATAGGCCTGTAGTTAATCGGTAGGGTTTTGTCCCCTTTTTTATACACAGGTTTGACCACTGCCAGTTTGAATTCATTTGGGACATAGCCCTCTTGTATTATTGAGTTGAATAGATGTGCTAACTGATGAGATATTTTTCCAGAAATGAGCTTTAGTGTTTCGGTTTTGATGACGTCGTAGCCAGGGGCCTTGTTAATTTTCAGATTTGATATTATTGTTTCAATTTCTGTACGATTTGTTGGTTCTAGAAAAACGGATTGGAGCGCGGGGTCAGGTCTGTGTATTATTTCTTCGTGTGGAGTTATTTTATTAGTCATCTCTATACGTACATTGACGTAATAATTATTTGGCGAGTTTGCGATATCTAAATCTTTATCTTTGTCTACAGATCTACCATCGGTAAGCCGTATTTGTTTAATCTCCTGTTCATTTTTTGATGGAACAATTCCATTAACGGTTTTCCAAATGTTCTTGGTATTGTATTTATTTTCATTGATTTTATCTTTATAATAATTATTCTTAAAGATAAAACCAATGAAAATAAATACAATTCCCTCGTTATCGCACCATTTACAGAAATTGAGTTAAACTAACAGAAAACAAATATTATAAAAGAAACATCGCTTTGGAGTAGCCATTCCGTTAAAGATCATTTTTGAAGATGTTTAGTACCTTCTCGAGACCTTCCATCATATTAGAACAGACTTTAGCTAAAAGACAGCAAGAACCTCGCAAGGAAAAGAATCCATCACAACCAGTGCTTGCACTTCCCCAAATCAGAGGATTATCGGAAAGGATAAGATGGGTTGTATTTATCATGACAATGGACTGACCGTTACTTCATATAAATTAATAACAATATTCATGATAATGATCAAACAATTTTCACAAACCTTTTAATTTTTGAATGCGTTTCGCTAATACAGTAGCTTCCTCAGTAGAGGTATTTATAGGCTATAAAATGACTCTAAAATATTCATTTTGAAACGTAACCCAAACAGCTATCTTATTAGTTTTTTCAATCTCTTGTGAAATTTGTTGAAAGTGACTTATCTGATATTGAAACTAGCTGCCTCAATTTTTCCTTAAATGTTTCTCAAACTCAATTAGATAATTATTCCCAATAGAGAAATCAATAGTGTTGGAAAAAACAAGCGAAACGCATTATTAAACAAACCACTAGCAAGGCAAGGAATTTTGAATATGAACACATTACTTATATCACTTGTTTTTCTCAATGAATATTTTTTCAGATTTTTAGTGATGGCAAGAATTTGGAATTATGCCCAAATAGGAATGCTAGTGTACCTGATGGCATGGAAATACAATTTACCCATGAAGATATACGAAACATTATATAGTTATATTGAAAATATTGATTCTTAAATTTACTATCAACTGAGAATCCCTGGAAAAATGGAACGTATAATATAATTAGTTATAACAATGAAAATATCAGTGAAATTTTTTTGGTTTCAATCAATAAATGCTTTCGAATTGTTTGGAATTATTTATTTTTGACATAACCTTGAAGGATTTCTACTGAAGCATGTACGAAATTATTCGTTACTACAGCTTGTCAAATG